ATAACGTCTGTATATAAAAGCAAAAACAGTATGGTGGGTGGAGAATGGTGGCAAGTCAGGTGAGGTGAGGTGAGGTGAGGTGAGGTGAGGTGAGGTGAGGTGAGGTGAGGGAGGGAGGGAGGGAGTGGCAGCCAGTGGCGGGCTGCCACTGCCTGCCACTGCCACTCAGCATACCAACTTAGTGGTTCGTTATGGTGAACACGGATGTAGATACTTATATATAGCGTCTGTATATAGTGAATAAAAGCAAAAACAGTATTGTGGGAGGAGAATGTGGGCGAGTCAGGTGACTTGAGGGAGGGCGTGAGTGGCTGGCTGGTACACGGCGGTCACTCCTCGTTACTTTTTTGACTCATAATAATAACTTAGTGGTTTGTTATGGTGAACAAAACATGCAGATACTTATATATAACCTGTGTATATAATGTAATAACCGACAAAGTATTTGTTCACTGATTGATGAACATAATTGAATCAACAATATGCACACCATATTTTTGAGTACAGCGATGATTCACTCATTTTATTATATAAATATATCAAACTACACACTATTGAATAATATTACAGCAAAAAAACTACAAAAAAATCAGAGACATTGAAATAATTAGGTAATTATCTCTTTGTGGCAACTCCGGCCTGACAGCTAGCGATCAACAGACCATCTGGGACCCACACTGAGTCAGCGCCTGTTTTTTGCCAGACTTCCCCGCCCTATAGCGGGCAATATATGCCACTTACGATTTTTTTTATTATTTTTTCCCATGATCAGTGAACACAAATTAACAGATTAGCAAGATTTTTTTTTTTTTTTTTCAAAATTACATGCACCTGTGGGGAACAAAGGATATTATACCCCTAGCATGTTAAGGGTTAAGCATAGGCCCTGAGCTGAATCTTATAAACTGTCTATGACTAACCACAATGACAATTGTTAGTACTAATGACAATTGTTAGTACATTAATGACAATTGTTAGGGGTTACTTAATTAAATTAATAAATAACATGAATATGAGAAGAAATGCAGGCTAGGTGTCATTTACAGAATTGTCTAAGCAGAACTCCTCACTGCTTTCCAAGATAATTAAAAAGGCTTAGACAACCTACTATGAAAATCATTTTAATCATATAAAAGGTAGTATGAAGAAAAGATGTAACACTACTTCAGATAATATGGTAAAAGAAGAACCTGGATAAAAAAAAAATATTCCTAGCTGGAAATAGTAGAATGTTATCAGCCGCAGACATGACTACTAAATTCAATACGGTAGTTTATTTTCAGTACTAGGCACCTCCCTTGCAAATGAGATCCCAGCACCCCAAGCAAATGTAAGTGACTATCTCACTGATATCACTAGCAGCTATCCCAGGTGAGTCTACCTATCCCCAGATAACTCGCCTGATATTATTGACATTGTCCTCTCACTTAAAAATAATCCAGTAACCCTTCTGAGATGCCAACCCTAATCTATAAAAAAGCCTCAAGGTTTTTAGCTCCTGTGATAGCATTGCACTACAACAAATCACCGGAGCTCCGAGCCTTCCCAGATGCTCTTAATATCATGCAATTAATATCTTATTATCAATACATGTCACTAATTTCACTCAAATCTTCCCTCGAAGTAAGTTTTTTGTGTTACACTTATTCTTAAATGGTTATTTAATAGAATTAGGTACAGTACTTTTTTTTCATTTAATGTCATGTAATTTCTTGCATTTCTTTGATAAAGTGTTTATTCATGTACTTTATGTTCCTTGTTTTTTTAGTGATGGGTCCATTAAGCTTATACAGAGGAGCCTCGATTAATGAATTTAATCTGTTCCGGCATCGAGCTCATCATGTGAAACATTCGTCTTGCGAAACGAATTTCCCCATTTAAAATAATGGAAATAAAATTTATCCGTTCCACCACTGAAAAACATCATATTTTTTTTTTTATAGAAAATGGAGCAGACTACCTGACATACACTGAACAAACCTTTTTGATATTTATTTATTTATTCAAATTTTTTTTATTATTTTTTTATAGAAAATGGAGCAGCCTACCTGATGAACCTTTATGAATTTTTTTCAAATATTTTCAATTATTTATATTTTTTAAAGAAAATGGAGCAGCCTGCCTGACATACAATGAACGAACCTTTTTTTTCAAATTTTTTGTAATTTTTCTAAAAAAATAAATTCAATGCTTTGCAACATCACAGCAGTCACCCCTTTAAATCCCAGCATCATTAGCATCTTTCCAAAAAATATCATTAATTTGTATTGTCGGAGGCGTCTGAGAATTTGCGAGAACCAGTGGGAACGCTAGAAGCACCACATGGTTCTCGTTAATCGAGCGGAAGCTCGTCAATCGAGACGATTTTTTGAGAGTGGCTTGCTCGTTATTTGAAATGCTTGTAGATGGGGCTGCTCGTCACACGAGGTTCCTCTGTACTTATTACTCCATGTTCTGTTACGTTCCAAGAAAATGTTACAAGTAAGAGTCCACTTGCTTTTGGTTTGCTTGAGTCAGAGGACACTCCCTACAATACCTCAAATCTTACCTTACTGACAGGCTCCAGTATGTTTCTGTGAACAATTCAATTTCTCCCACCCTACCTATCAACATTGGTGTTCCTCAGGGCAGCATACTTGGCCCTCTCCTCTTTCTCATCTTCATTAATGACCTTCCAAATGCCTCCCAACACCTCAAACCTATTCTATTTGCTGACGACATAACCTTCATTTACTCCAGTCCTGACCCCCTTGCTCTAAATGCCATAGTAAATACTGAGCTAAATAAAGTCCATCTTTGGCTAACTGCCAACAAACTCACCCTTAACATTGACAAAACTTTCTATATTCTGTTTGGCAATAAATCCTCTAATCAAATAAATCTCAAAATAAACAATACCCAAATTTGTAACAAGTTAGATGGAAAATTCCTTGGCGTTCTCATTGATCACAAGCTGAATTTCCAGGGACACATTCTAAATATATCAAAAAAAGTTTCAAAAACTGTTGGCATTCTTTCTAAGATCAGATATTATGTACCCCGCCCTGCCCTGGTTACTCTCTATTACTCCCTCATATATCCATATCTCAACTATGGTATTTGTGCTTGGGGTTCTACTACCCAAAATCATTTACGTCCTCTAATTACTCAACACAAAGCTGCTATTAGGACAATATCCAACTCTAGCCCCAGACATCACTCGGTACCCCTACTCAAATCTCTGAATATGTTAGATATTAAGTCACTGCACATTCTCTCTTGTGTATTATACATATATAAAACGCTGAACTGTAATGCCAATCCTGACCTCAAAAGCTTCATTGAAGGTTGTAACAGAACCCATGAGCACCACACCAGAAATAAATACAGTTTTGATATTCCAAGAGTACGACTTAAACTAGAAATGCTCTACAAATCAAGGGACCCAGAATGTGGAATGATCTTCCCAACCATGTTAAAGACTGTACCTCTCTCAACCAGTTTAAGATAAAAACTAAACACTACCTAATAAATTCCCTGTAACCTACCTTACCCCTCTATTGTCAACCCATGTCTGTTATTTTTTTTTTAATCAACACTGTTTGTCAACCTATTGTATTTGTGCTGCTTTTTCAGTCATGTTCCCCCTTTTTTTATCTTTATTTGTATTTGTTCTCAACACATTTTATTCTTTATGCTCAATTAGTATTAAGTTCTAGATATTAATGTTTTTCCTGCCCGAAACACATTGCGTAATAGTGGCTTTAGGCATTGTATGTACTAGTTCTATCTATATATCGATCCATTAATGTAACATTACTTGTATGTATGTACCTTACCTGAATAAACATATTTATTTTATTTATTTATTTATTTATTTATATTTTTTTATATTAAACCTTAGAACAGTGGTACCTCTGTTTTAAAATTTAATCTGTTCCCAGAGATGGTTTTTAAACCGAAAATTCGTATTCCCCAGTGCCACCAGGAACCACGCGCTCAGTCGACCCATACGAGTATCTACAAACTCGCCACGTGAGGCAAAGCTCATATACCGAGTCAAATTTTACAAAGAAATTAAACTTGTAAACTGAAAAATTCGTAAAGAGGGGCATTCATCAACCGAGGTTCCATTGTACTGTACAGAGGAACCTCGAGTGACGAGCAGCCCCATCTATGAGCATTTCAGGTAACGAGCGAGCCACTCGCAGAAAATTTGTCTTGATTGACGAGCTTCTGCTCGGTTAACAAGGAAACCACGTGGTGCTTCCTAGCGTTCCCGCTGCTTCTCGGATGCCTCTGATGACAGTGTTGTTTTGCAAGAGGAGCGTTTCACATGATGAGCTCGGTACCAGAACGGATTAAATTTGTTAACTGAGGCACCATTGTACTGACTTTCCAGTCTGTTTAATGCAATTAAACTACTGTACTGTTGGTAGAACAACAACAAAATCCTGATCATAACAGTCCATGCCTGTCATCTTTAGGCATCACCTTTTTTTGTATTCGGTTGTTATTTTCCTTGAGCATTTTCATTTTCTTGGCTTAGTTCTCTTTTAGTATCAAATGTTTTACCCCTTCATACTTTTAGTTAAATTTGTTCCCTTATTTTTAAGTTTTATCCAAAATGCTTTGTGTAATAGTGGCTTCATTAGTGTAACTCCTGTCCATACAATTGCACATTACTCTTATGATCTTTGTCCACACATTCTTTTGAATAAAAATTATTATAAATTCCCCCTTGTAATACATCCAACATTTACATTCAGTATGACTGCTGTAGACAGTGATGTGCTCTAAAGAAAAACTAATAAGTATTTTACCAATTGAATTGAGGTAAAAAACTGACTTTAGTGAAATACCCAAGTCACACAGCTTATACTGAAAATTAAATTTCCATTTCATCTCTAATTTAAGCACAGTTTACCTTTTGGTAGATTTGTGTTCAAAGATTTTAGCAGTGATCAGACTTACCATAAACAAAATGATTACAAACTATAAAAATGCATGTTGCTATTTACCTCTCCAATGGTATAACCAAACTGCCTAGCACGAATTATCATTTCCATCTGGAAGACATATCCTTTACTGACACAAGAATTTACCAACTTCTGCAAGACCTCCTTTCTGTACAACCTGTTGTGAATGAGAAATTGGTAGAGATTATTACAGAATAATGTAGTAGTACATCATACAGGTAACATTGTTTTGGAGATTGTAACCCTTTCTTCTGAAGAAACTTAAACGAAGAGTGTACTATCAGACTTTTGTTGTAAATTTATCTTCTGCTCACATGTCCAATTCCGAGTTATAATGGTATCCTAATAACAAGGTAATTTTCATACTAACTTCATACACCCGATATCATTTTATTCATATTTGCCTTAAAATACCAAAAATCCTCAGGATTGTTTATTTAATAGCCTAGGGGTCATTTTGAAATTACAGAATAATGACTGGGTGCCACCTGCAGCAAAACAGGGTTCTTGCCAAGTTCCAGGCTGGGTACACTTAATCTGGCTTCTACAATCGGACCAGGAGACAGGCTTTACTAGAAATATCCAGTTGCCTCAACAGCAAGGGATTGCTGAATGTCCTTACAGATGAAATATTTGGAAATATTTCAGTTAAAGCTTGAAGATAAATTTACTTCATGTGAACAAAATTAAGCTATGTATTATATTAATTCAGATGACCCAAGACCCATCAATTATACAATACTGTACTTGCAACAATACAATTATGCAATACTTATGCAATACTCTACAATATCTAAGTACTGTACTGTACTTATTAGTTTTAACAAATACATAGTATCTTTGGTTAAGATAAAGTTTCAAGATTATGAAAAAATTTAAAACCAAGTAAGAATTGTATCCAAACTCTTTCCCCATTAACAATATATGAAATGGGGCTAAAATATTTTGAAGTACTGTACAATATATACAGTTGATATTAACCACTTTTTCACTGAATGCTCTGCCCTAATTACCTGAAGGAGCCAGTGAGGTCTGAAGCTCCAGGCCTGAGCAGAATTTGAGTGACATAATTGGCACCTCGGCTGATCACTTTGCGTTTCAGATCCCATCCATATACACCTCCATTTCCGCTATAACGAGTTCCAGAAACCACATCGTAGTTCCCTTCTTTTTGTTTCTTGATGAATTCAGGAATAAATTTTGGCTGAAAAAAGTTGAAACAAGTTGAGATCTCTAGTTTCATTATTGAATGTACATAAAGCACAGTAAGTGTTCTAGCCTCTGAGGTATAAATACTATACTGTTCAGCAACAGTTTTAAATATTCCTACAAATAATAGTTTGGAAATAGGGTTGTATGGAACAGATTGGCAGCCACATAATAAATATGGGGTTACATTAATGTGTATGCCCAAGTAAATAAACATACAAGTGGGAGCAGTTTGGTACAAATACTGTATGATGTTCTCCATGGTACTATTTTCTCAAGTAAATATATAGTTTCTAGTGCAAAGGCAGACAAAAGTCAATATTAATCCTGTCACCATTCCAGACATCCCTGCCATTTTATGAAGTACCTGCTAGTGTATATCATTCGCCTCAGTGTTAGACTATATTAGAAAATAGGATGGATTTTTTTTTTATTTTGTCTTTTAAAGATGCAAGATGCTGCCTTAAATCCCCCCCCCCAAGGTCTCTCAGGATAGTGTGATCATGTGATGAAAAATTATTGAAGTCTTTAGTGCCCACTGAGTCTGTTGCAAAAACATAGTTACCTGCAGCTGCGTCACCATGCTACCCCAGCAATCCATCAAACAGGATTTTTGTGCATTATATGCTGATATAAGTGATCGATTTGTTATTTATGGTGACAGTCTCTCCCTGAATGAACAAGTGAAAATGGTCAATGATAGATGTTCCTGGTGGTGATGGCGCATTGGCCCTCTTTGGAAATGCAACTCAAGGTAGGCAGGGTTGCACCGACATCACTTATACTCTTTATTTATACACATATTAAACCCAAGCTAAAGCTACAATCTTTCTTCATTATATTCCTGTAATCTACCCATTTTTGTATATTATATAAAATTGTACTGAAGGGAAGGGTGGGGTGTTATCAATAGAGGGGTCACCATATCTAAAGTTGGGGCATTAGGAGTTAAAATTTAATTTGTCCCATAAGCTACATGTTTCCCATATACCTTCAATAAAGAAAATGACCAATTCACTTCAGTTCATGATGGCGTGCCAACATCTTATCCCAAGAAATTAACAAAATTTTATGATTACTTACATGATGTGATAAATCAGCATCCATAATGATGACATAGTTACCAGTTGCATGCTTTATTCCATGGATGTATGCAGTTCCTAAACCAAGCTTCTTTGCTCTTGGCCGTAAAACCTGAAACATTCAATGCTACTCAGAAAATCAAAGATTTTTTTTTCATGCACACAGGACATCAATTTTAAGTAACCCCCTGACAAATACTTTAGTGTCCTATTTATCCAAATTAATTTACCAAAGACATTGAAAATTCATTCACTTTTTACAAGACATCACTTTTACTCATTATATTCACAAATTAACAACAACTGTCAGGAATTGCCATTTAGATACAGGTGTACAGTAATCATACTAGTACTTGTCATCAGCAGTCCTTATCCACCTGTCCAGTGAAGTACAGAGCTAATGTACATATACTATATATATATATATATAGTAATATATATAGATATATAATATACACACACATACACAAGATGACAAACTTTCAAAGAAAATATGGGAAATAGTACAGTACTGTACTGTATTTCTATATACAGTTCAACTCATTATATAATGATCTAATGTATGCTTGAACAATGTGGTGTGTTTCATTTACAGCACTGTAGCTTATTTTGTAAACCTGTATTGTAATATACAGCATTGGTGTTCTTGAATATGAATCAAATACTTTGTGTGGGTGGGAGGGTAAATTTGACAATGGAAACAACTCAGGGGTTCTTTTGCTGTGTGTATGGTCTCAAGCTTGTTGGTAAGCAGGATAGTGACCAACATTTTATTTATAGATATAGTTCATGAGGGTGCTTGCTCTTCTACACAATGGACCTGTAGAAGAGAGATTTAAAACAAACAGAACCCTTGCAAACAGATTCTAGTACATACACATGCACTTGTGCTTAAATACAAAAAACTTTAATGTTGAATATTATAAATGTGTACATAATAAATGCGAATAACAAACAAGTGAGGTACAGTAGAAGGTAAAATTTATCATTGTAATTCTTATGACATTTGCCAAGAAAAATTTGTTGCATTCTACTGAAAATAATGAATAGCACTTACAATTCTGTTGTCACCATATATTTCTTGCAGTTTCTTAGCAACCTCAAGAGTGCCATCTGGTGATCCATCATCGATCACTATTATCTCATAGTCAATGCCACTGAAAAGGTCGACCAAAATAAAATCACGAGCTATGGCAATGTTCTTGGCCATTTATTCAAGTACTGTACTATAATATGGTCCAATCTTACAATACATAAACAAACCAATACAATTCAGAATTGAGCATTCCTTACATCGACACGTCGCTTCACTCACCTTTCCTTAAAGTATTTACAAAGAAGCCAGGTAATGATAGGCAAGTTCTCTCTCTCATTGTAAGTTGGCAACAGTACAGAATATTTGTCCCCAGCCATTGCATGCAGGAGGGGTAGCTGTCAAGGGCACGGGGGAACAGCGGGCTGTCAAGGGCACGGGGGAACAGCGGGCTGTCAAGGGCACGGGGGAACAGCGGGCTGTCAAGGGCACGGGGGAACAGCGGGCTGTCAAGGGCACGGGGGAACAGCGGGCTGTCAAGGGCACGGGGGAACAGCGGGCTGTCAAGGGCACGGGGGAACAGCGGGCTGTCAAGGGCACCGGGGAACAGTGGGCTGTCAAGGGCACCGGGGAACAGCGGGCTGTCAAGGGCACGGGGGAACAGCGGGCTGTCAAGGGCACGGGGGAACAGCGGGCTGTCAAAGGCACGGGGGAACAGCGGGCTGTCAAGGGCACGGGGGAACAGCAGGCTGTCAAGCGGGACAGCGGGCTGTCAGCGGGCTGTCAAGGGCACGGGGGAACAGCGGGCTGTCAAGGGCACGGGGGAACAGCAGGCTGTCAAGCGGGACAGCGGGCTGTCAAGGGCACGGGGAACAGCAGGCTGTCAAGCGGGACAGCGGGCTGTCAAGGGCACGGGGGAACAGCAGGCTGTCAAGGGCACGAAATACTACAGGCCGACACGTCACTAGTCACGTCTCGGAACACGGAGGATTTATATAACGCCTGTGGGTAATGAAGACCACAGGGAATAACTAGAGGTGTGATTATTTGGAGCGTGCACCGAGCACCAGAGGAGGGAGGATGAGGCTCCAGGAGGGGCGCGAGTCTCCTGCCTGAGGCACCGCCGTGTTGTCAAGTGACGTCACCAGCATCTAGGCCTTCATCGCAGGGTTCAAAAAGGAACCCAAGAGTAGTCGTTCAACGTCATCACTACGCCGTATATAAATGTAACCTAACGAAAATAATATAATTATATATATATATATATATATATATATATATATATATATATATATATATATATATATATATATATATATATATATATATTTATTTATTTATTTATTTATTTATTTTTATTTATTGCGTGTCTGGCCGAAACACTATGCGTGTTAGTGGCTTTACAAGAATGTAAAAACATCAATGCTATGTACTCTCATAAACACAATGTATCTTCTTGTATATAATTAATAAATAAATAAGTTTCCTGCCCGAAACGCTTTGCGTAATAGTGGCTTTAGGCATTGTATGTACTAGCTCTATCTAAGATTGATTGATGAAGATTAAGCCACCCAAAAGGTGGCACGGGCATGAATAGCCCGTAAGTGGTGGCCCTTTTAAGCCATTACCAGTATCAAGAGCTGATACTGGAGATCTGTGGAGGTGCGAATGCACCCTGCATGACGGGAGATGTCTCCCTTGTGAATGTGTTAAGATGAAGATGAAGCCACCGAAAAGGTGGCACGGGCATGAATAGCTCGTAAGTGGTGGCCCTTTTGAGCCATTACCAGTATCAATAGATGATACTGGAGATCTGTGGAGGTGCGACTGCACCCTGCGTGACGGGAGATGTCTCCCGTGAGCTCTATCTATAAATCCATCAACTTTTGTATCATGCCTTGTATGTATGTACCTTACCTGAATAAAAATTTATTTATTTATTATTTATTATTTATTAAGTAAAAGATGGTTTAAGGTTTACGATGACGTCACGAAGTTGCCTCTAGCGATCTTTTTTGGATCCTACTACTATACACTCCATATATTCAAGAAATAATATATTGTGCGTAATAATGGATTATTCTGGTTTAAAATGAAACAAATATAAATATTATTAGCTATTTATTTTGCACCAGGACGATTATGAACAAAAATAACTAAAATGCTAGTTATTAAAAGCATTTCCAGTTCCATGTTTACGATACTCTCAAACTTTTTTGCTCAACTAACTAGTATTTTGCTAAGCAAAGCACACAAAATAAAACATTTGTATACTTTTAGGACAAATCAATTTTCGAAGTATCACAAAAATTAACAGAATTTTACATATAATAAAGTAAATCACATTTCCCTTAAACCAGAATTTTAATCCGGTATATATATATTTATATTTATATCCACATATCTGGGGTTTTAATATAATTTTGTTTTTTTGCATTAGTGTGATTAAATTTTAGTAATCCTTTCATAGTTGCTTGAAGATAAAAGGTGTAGTTATGTTGAAAATGTGAAGATGTGTAGTAACGGGGAAGGCGAGTGTGTGAAGCCTGATAATGATGGCGGTTGTTAAGAAGACGTGAAGAAAGCTCGTGTGATCCTTAAATTCTGTTCTATTCCTTGGAATCCTTAATTAAAGAACATTGGTAAGAATCTATAGTCGCTTCCTGGTATCGTAGATATGAGATTGTATTACACTGAAAGTAAATCCGAGCGAGAATGGATGGTTGTTTGGGGGCCCGTGTAGCGCAACACAGTTTTATGGGAATTTTTGTCTTTTGTGTCAGGTGGTCCGTGACCAACGCTGATGATAACTAAATGCTTTGATGAGCTTTGAATATGATACGCGTTGATGAGGGGAGGGATTGGGTACTTGATACACGTGGAGGTATGGCGTACTAGTCCCCCCCCCCTGAAGGAGTCATACCGTAGGTGGAGTCAGGTATTGACCAGACGCCAGGCCCGTCCTCAGGTGGGGCAAGTATTGACCAGACGACAGGCCCGTCCTCAGGTGGGGGCAGGTATTGAACAGACGCCAGGCCTGTACTCAGGTGGAGGCAGGTATTGACCAGACGCCAGGCCCGTCCTCAGGTGGGGCAAGTATTGACCAGACGCCAGGCCCGTCCTCAGGTGGGGCAGGTATTGACCAGACGCCAGGCCTGTACTCAGGTGGAGGCAGGTATTGACCAGACGCCAGGCCCGTCCTCAGGTGGGGCAAGTATTGACCAGACGACAGGCCCGTCCTCAGGTGGGGGCAGGTATTGAACAGACGCCAGGCCTGTACTCAGGTGGAGTCAGGTATTGACCAGACGCCAGGCCCGTCCTCAGGTGGGGGCAGGTATTGAACAGACGCCAGGCCCGTCCTCAGGTGGAGTCAGGTATTGACCAGACGCCAGGCCCGTCCTCAGGTGGGGTCAGGTATTGACCAGACGCCAGGCCTGTCCTCAGGTGGGCCGGACACTACACTGTTGTGACCGAGTTCATGGTAGTGGTTTGTAGTCCGTCTTCAATTCTATGTTGGTGAGGCAAATGTCTGATGGAAAAAAAAAAAAAAAGTCCAAAGGGAGGCTGGGTTTTAGGTTTTATTTATTTTTGTATTTATTTATATATACAAGAGTTCTTATATTCTTGTACAGCCACTAGCACACACTGTTTTGGGCAAGTCCTTAATCCTAATTTCCCCTGGAGTAGGACCTGCCAAATTGTTTAACAACCTGGTACCCATTTACTGCTTGGTGATCAGAGGCTACAGTTAAGGATTGGCACCCAGTCGATCCTCCCTGGCCAGGATACAAATGGTTCGGTAGGTTTTCTTTCACATAATGTGTGTGTTCACCTAGCAAGAAATAGATATCTGGGAGCTAGGCACCAGTTTGGTATTGCATCCTGGGGAGTAATCCAACCTTGAGGAGGACCTAGAAAGGAAAGGTTACCTTGAGGTGGTTACCTTGAGGTGGTTACCTTGAGGTGCTTCCGGGGCTTAGTGTCCCCGCGGCCCGGTCGTCGACCAGGCCTCCTGGTTGCTAGACTGATCAACCAGGCTGCTCGCAGCCTGACGTGCAGACGAGAGAGACGCCAGCCTGACTGAGACGAGAGAGATATAAAATAATATAAACGTGGAAAATACTGGAGGGCCAGGTACCAAATCTAAACAGTAAAACAACGTACTGGAGTGAACGACATGGAAGAAAATGGAGAGTAGGACCAGTGAAGAGCAGGGGTGCCATAGGCACTATCAGAGAACACTGTATAAACTTCAGAGGTCCACGGTTGTTCAACATCCTCCCAGCGAGTATAAGAAATATTGCCGGAACAACCGTGGACATCTTTGAGAGAAAACTAGATACAGGTAGTTTTCTTCAAGAAGTGCCGGACCAACTGTGCTATGGTGGATATGGGGGCCTGCGGGCCGCTCCAAGCAACAACCTGGTTGGCCAAACTCTCACAAGTCAAGCCTGGCCTTGGGCTGGGCTTGGGGAGTAGAACAACTCCCAGAACCCCATCAAGCAGGTACCTCGTTACGAGTCTAAAGTATATATGTGTATACACACAGGCTTCCTGTTCCAGACAAAAATTATTTTGATGTACAGTATGTGAATAGTGAGGTAGACACACGACAACGAGTTTTTATGCAGTCGTAAACACATTTGGTCCAAAGCTTACCCTTGTGGGAATTGTTAATCAATCATAAGGTAAAACTGCTGGTATCTAGCAAATTTACATAAGCTATTATTTTTAAAATTGAGTTAAAATGTAAATAATACTTAGTGGACCAAACTCTTACAAGTCAAGCTTGGCCTCGGGCCGGGCTTGGGGAGTAGAACTCCCAGAACCCCATCAACCAGGTACTTTCATGGATAAACTGATGGTACAGTATTTATTGAAAGAGGAGACAGTTATCTTTAAAACGTCACCACAGTTGTGTCTGATGCAATATTAAAGTACATTAATTAATTAAATTGTATTAATTAATTAATGCAATTTTATTTATTTATGCCATCAGTTTATCCATGAAAGTATTATCTTTTTAATTAGATTAAAAAAATACATAAATTTGCTAGATACCATCAGTTTTACCTTGTAATTAAATTTAATGCAATTAATTGTATTAATTAATGTATTTAATTGCCAGAAAGTTTCATTAAATTCTGATTGGGTGCCAATCCTTAACTGTAGCCTATGTTTACCCAACAGTGACTGGGTACCTGGTTGTTAAACGATTTGGCGGGTTGTATTCTAGGGAAAATCAGGATTAAGGACCTGCCCGAAATGCTATGCAAGCTAGTGTCTTTACAAGAATGTATGAACTCTTGTATCTATAAATAAATAAATTTTAGATATTAACAGGTGAAAGCAACCAGTTATAAAGCACTGCATAAAGTATTTAGTCACCTTGGTGCTGGTATCTCGGGTCGTTCTCAGGGTAAAGTGATTCTAATGACCAGCAAGCTTCCCTGGTAAAACATCTGCATATTTATCTAGATATTTGTGATGGTCTGAAAGCATATTACAATACCAATAATGGGCTACTTATAAATTGCCAAGTGAACCTTTGTCCTCATCAGAAAATAATTATTTAACACTTTCGCGCTTTAGATTAGAGATAACTCGTCACCGTTTTTTCTTACGATTCCGCATAACAGCCTACTTTTCTCGTCCATCGAAAAAATATTTCTATAAATTCCATTTTTTAACTGAAATGGATGGGGATACTCTCAGATTATATACGTTTTGTAGAGAATTTATTTGCGAATTTTTTGGTACCAGAATGAATATTATATCACATAAACTTCTATGAGTAAAAAAAAAAATACACAAAGTATGTTTGGGGGTGTGGCGAGCGTGTGGCAGTGGGTTCCCTTTAGCCGTTGATATATCCAACACGTGGGAAATATTTGTATGTGTTATGTATATGTCTGTGTAGGGAATTTTACTGCGATCACTCATACAAGTTATAAAATGTTTCAACAAGTATAAACATGACAAACATCAAACGAACGAAAACAATACGTTCGTTTCTGCCGCGAACGCATACTGAGCGACGTGGTTCTATATTTGGCGCTTCTCTTACACATGCTTTGTACAAATGTTATACATTTTATCTTCTAGAAAATTTTATTGCGAACACATTGGTATAAAAAAGAAATACGTACATAGAAAAGTAGGGTCAGGAAACGTATAAACTTTCCAAGCATGATTTCCCCCCTGTGTTTTCGCCAGTGCGCTCGCGGCTAACTACTCTCCACTTCACACACTCTTGCGGGTGGGCAATTACCTACTGTATATTAAACATTCATATGCATATGTCCGTGTAGAGAATTATATTGCGATTCCAATGATACCAAAATTAGCGATGTAGGACAACTGTAGGCTTCGCAACCATTAAGAGAGAGGAAACATTTTGTTGCTGTTTGGCGCTCTCGGCGAGTGATCTGCATAGTTTTTTATTTGGTGTTGATACTCCTTATGCTTGGGCGGCATTTTATAGGTATGCTCTTATAGACAATTTCATTGCGAACACAGTGATACCAAATTTAAATACGTGCGCCTTCAATTATTGTCAGGACAGTCAAAAGAGTGTACACTTTTTCGGTCTTACCGCGTAGGCGCGCGAAGTGCCGAAAGCATCTGGGGTATTGTTTTTTTTTGAGTGCCGAGAGCGCGAAAGTGTTAATATTCTCAAGTCATAACTTTGTATTATAAAATGTATTGGTTATACTGTACTTAATTTGTTTTCTTTGAAACTGTGAAGAAGTTGGTTTTCTGTAAATGAAATTCTAAGGGAGGCTCAAATGGTTTTTGAATTTCATATTTCATATGTTTGAGAATACAGTAATATACTTTATTAAGAGCACCTGACAGCTGAGTGGACAGCGCTTCGGATTCGTAGTTCTGAGGTTCGGGGTTCGATCCCCGGTGGAGGCGAAGACAAATGGGCAAAATGTTTTTCACCTTGATGCTTCTGTTACCTAGCAGTAAATAGGTACCTGGGAGTTAGACAGCTGCTACGAGCTGCTTCCTGGGGAGGGGGGTGTAACAAAAAGGAGGCCTGATCGAGGACCGGGCCGCGGAGACGCTGAGCCCCAAAATTATCTCAAGATAACCTCAAGATCTCAAGATAAGATTAATGTAATGCAAGTTAAGATTATGAAACATAATCTTAACTTGACTTTTACTTAATCATAATCTAACCTTAACCTCACCATAACCTAACCATGGATAGGTATAAGTTGAAACCTTATTTGGTTTGTAACTGTGCACTGTGTTATAGTGTTCCAGTCGCCTGTCGGGCATTTCTCCAAAGTGCTGACGCACGATAGGGAGTAGATAATAGTACTACAATAATTACATAGTGGTTTTGAAGTGATTGCCTACAGGGTGCTTCTTTCCTGAGAACAGGTTGGGGTATCTGGACAGAGATGCATCACCATTTAATAAGGAAGTAAGGGTCATAATGGGGGACTAAGCACTGTTATGTCATTGCTACCCTTTAAATACCCTAACCTAACCTCTTCTGTCCTAACCTAACTATGAAAAATGCAATTTATTTTGTTTTTAATTTCCCTGCAAGATGTCTTCATTTATATTCTGGTTGCCTTTTGTGGATCGTTTTGGATCTGTAGTATCCAAAAATGCCCCCGAGTTA